AGTTGGTGTAATGGCTATGTCGCTGGACTCCCACGTAGTCGACCACAGTTCGAGTCCTGGACCCGGTGGCTTGAACTCACGCCGGGCGTGTGTGCGTGCGTGCCCAAGATCCTGAGAGGAGAATGGAGGAGAGGGGATTGCGGCATGGCCATCCCCCCTGGGGGGTGATTTCTCGCTTTCTGTCTCTCTGTCTCTGTCTGTCTGGTGAGTGCACGTGCCCTATAGCAAAAACCTCTCCAAAAAAAAATAATAATAATTTTAGGGCTAACTGTTGTGGTGCAGAGATAACACATCATTCAGCAATGCTGAGACCACATGGAAAGGTTACAGGTCCATCCTGAGGTCTCCTTGCACAGACTGGATAGGAGTATGCATGCTCATGATCCTGGCTGGCTGAGGCTGGGGGCGGATCATGGCTCATGGCATGAAGACTCTGTTAGGTGTGCCTATCTCTCTCTAAACTTTAAAAATTATTTTAAGGGAACCAGCAGTTAGCGTAATGGCTATGTCACTGGACTCCCATGTAGTCGACCGCGGTTCGTGTCCCGGACCCAGTGGCTTAAAACTCACGCCGGGCGCGTGTGCGTGCATGCCCAGGATCCCGAGAGGAGAATGGAGGAGAAGGGATTGCGGCGTGACCATCCCCCCTGGGGGGTGATTTCTCGCTTTCTGTCTCTATGTCTCTCTCTGCTGTCTGTCTGGCGAGCGCACGCGCCCTACAGTGAAAATCTCTCCAAAAAAAAAAAAATTATTTTAAGTTTTCTCTATGTAATTTCCACATATATTCCAAAACAATGTAATTTTCACATTTGCTTGTCTTTGAACTTTATTGATTTTTTTCCCTTTAATTGCCAGAGGGTGTATGTGCTCGCCAGAGAGAGAGAGATCTCTGTAGTGTGATCACACTACAATCCTTTTCCTTCATTCTTCCATCCCATTAGGATTTGGGGTATGCATACATACACACATCTGGCATGTTTTTCAAGTCACTAGGGTCATGATTCAAACCATGTTTGACCACGTATGATCCAGCTCTGGGTACACTGTGTTGAACTGGTGTACAATGGCCTTGACTCCTACAGTTATGTCTATGCTGTTATACGATGACTTGTTTTCAATTAACATTATGCTTCTAAAACCCATCCCTGTTTTATGTCATTGTGGTTTATCTTCTCTGCCACACACTATTCCATTATATGAATATACCAGGATTGATGTATCCATTTCTCCACACATATACATCCTTGTCTCCTCCCCTCAATATTGTGTGTATTGTCCCAATGCATGTGTGCAAGCATTCTTCTAAGGTAGAATTGACTTGGAGGCTATAAACATGACCAAAAAGCATTCCACAGTGGCTATGCCAATACACACTCCCAGAAATTTCTTCTTAAACTTGAGCATAGCTGAGTTTCCCAAAGCACAGTTAAAATTAGGCTGAAATTTCTTTTTTAAAAAAACTTTAAATGGAACTCTGAGTACAATACGAGAAAAAACGGAGCTGGTCCCATAGGTTAGCAGTTATAGTAGTCCAATCCCACATGGCCGACCAGTTTGAACTCTCACAGCATGAAAAACATGCCAGGTGCATGCATGTGCGTGCCTCAAATCCTGATAGGGTGGGAAGTGGAGAAGGATGACAGTGTGACCGTGACCGTGACCATGGCAGGGTGGAGGCAGGGGTGCTTTCTCCCTCTCCTTCTCACTCTTTCTCTGGCCAGCACACACATCCTCTAGCAATTACAATTTTTTTTTTTTTAAGAAAAGAAAGAAAAAACTTAAAACTAAATAGTGTAATTTACTGTTGAAGCTCTCTGGGCACATGCATCTTTGGGAGCCTGTACTCAGTCACGCCCTGTTCTATAGGCTAACTCATCTTGCCAAGATAAAAGCCTCTTTTACCCAGCCTTGCCTTCTTCAGAGTCCCATCTTCCTTTGGTCTTCAGCCCTAGATAAAAGAAAATAAGGACTTGCCCCTCCAAGAACAAAAACATCTGAACATGAGACAAGAACTTCCACACTACCTGCAGAGGCACAGCCTATCCCACAATGCAGCTGTCCTTTCATGTCACCATTCATTCCAGTTGTTCATAATTGTTCTGAGCGTCTTCATTCCAGAAGGAATTTTTGTTTTACTTTCATATACCCAGAAGATTCATTAAACTGTTTTTTCAAAAGAGCAATCCTCCCCAAGGGATAAATTGTACAACCATCCCTAGAGTAGTACTGTTAGTTAAAGCCTCTTGTCTTGCAAGTAACAAAAAACTAACTGAAGCTAACTTAAGCAGAAAAAAAAAATACGTGTTCTAAGGATACAGAGGTATTGTTAGAGAAGCAGAATTTCTCGATTTGGGTGCCCTCCTATAATCCAATCAACACTGGCAAGACGAATGAAGTCATATTACATCAATTGGCTTCCAATGAGTCTTTGTTGTGAGGTCACTATAAACATGCAACAGATATTTTCTAAATAATTATTTATTTAATTTGTTATTACTATTTATTTTTTTAAGATTTATTTTTTTTATTCATTTATTCCTTCATTATAGTTTGACCAGAGAGAGACACAGAGAGATAGAGGAAAGTGAGAAGAAAGCAAGCCACCAGATCCAGGACTTGAACTGTGGTTGGCCATGTGGGAGTGTCCAGCACCTTAACCACCATGCCACCTTCTGGTCCCATTACTATTTATTTTTTAATTTGACCAGAGAGAGAGAGAGAAGGTGAGAAAGCAAGCCGCCAGGTCTGAGACTCAAATCATGGCTGGCCATGTGTGAGTCCAGTCCCTAACCACCATGCCACCTGCTGGTCCAACAAACTTTTTTCAAATAGCGAATGACAGGGAGGACCCAGACCAACAATTTCTAAACAGTGAAACCAATAGTAGAGATCTCATGTTTTTCCTTTCCCTTTCCCAAAAAGAATATAGTTTGTTTCATGTGGGATCTGCCTCCCTTTAACCATTAGGCTACAGGAGCTGCCCCTGTACCTTTTTTTTTTTTTTTTTTTTTTGGGGGGGGGGTTTTTTC